CTTGGAAATGTCGGGGGCGGGGGAGGGGTCGTCCTGGTCGCTGGAAAATGCGCCCAGCCCCGGGAGGGCAGGGCTGGCGAGCGCCTTTGGCTTGCCCCGGAAAAGGGACATGTTGCAGGGCTCCAGGGTTAGGAACATTAGCTTGCTGGTTAATTTTATGCATAACCGTTCCTGCACAAGAGCTTAGCTCCTAACAGCTGTAGTATAGTAAAGACTCATATTGGACTTTTTTCAGATGAGAGTGGTTGAGTGGTCATGTTATTGTCTCAGGGAACCGTCTTGCACACTTTTACTGTATTTTCATGCGTAGGTTGATGACTACCATAACTGGGAAGGCGGGTCTACTGTAAAATTTATCCTATGTTGGAGTACTTCTGAAGGCATGTTTTACATGACGTGTGTGCAGACTATACCTGCTTTAATTTCACTTTTTTTTTTGCGGGGGGGGGGGGGGTTTTTGTTTGGGGGGGGGGGTTTGGTTGGTTCGTCGGGTTTTTTGGTTTTGTGTTTTTTTCCCTCGGAGGCAAAACAGTTTTCAGGAACATAAATCCTGTCAGACTTAAATTCACGTTCTTTTGTTCGTTCATGAAAATTTTTTCGGGACTTTTGTATTACTGTTGTATTTGGAAGTCTTGATGTACCTTCATGCAACTTTTGTCATGAAAGACCTCTTCTTAATATAATGTGAAAACCTGTTCTTGAATTCTCAGGTCTCTAACTTACCAAATCAGATAACAAACAGTGAAAAATTATCATAGATCTGTGATTGTCACCCAACTGAAAAGAGAGGAGAATAGAGTTGTCTTCTGACACCTGTGCTAAGGATTATTTTCAAGCTTTGTCTCATGACAATTTAATATTCTGAAACAGTTACAAGAGCAGTACCCATTACAAGTTACCATGCATTGCATAGATAGAAAAGGCACACAATTCTTAGCTTTCAAGTTCATACTGTAAAATTAAGGCTTTTAAGTTCATCTTTGACTCTGGTCCTAAGTATCCTAGTAGTTCATTCTCAAGTTCCCATGTATCATTTTTTTCTTCCAAATGTGTTTGCATATGCTATCTAACATGTCTGGGACTGTTAGTTTTCATAATATCAATAAGAAAGCAAGAAGAAATGTCCTGATAAAATGCAGAATATACAGATGTTTCTGGTTGCATTTATTCAGAGTTCATGGTTGCATTTATGAATTTCAAACCATAAAGACCTATGTTCCATAGTACTGATTTCCTGGGTTAAATTCCACCAGCAAATAAGGACGGTACTGAGGTAAATAGAGATAAGTTTTAGGTAGCAGTCAGCATCTTTTGCATTCTATAATTGTAATATCCTCATCTCGTGTTGCAGTGACTAGATTACTTCTGCTACTTCTTGATGAAAATACATCTTTATTTGGGATTCTTTGCTCATCCTAAATCCATAATATTCCAACCTTTTTAAGGAGTCTTTCTGTTTTACCACTCTCCAGTACGTGTGCTCAGTCTCAGCTGTGACATTTCAGCCTTTCTGAATGGAGGCAATCTATCAGTAAGAATGTATGTTCAGGAATTAAGTTAAAACACCAAGTCACAATTTGTTCTGCACCAAAGAATAATTCTTGTTTACCTTTTTCTATTTTGTAAAACTTGAAGCCAGTAGATGCAGCTGGCATATTCCTGCAGAAAGGGTGTGTGTTAATCTTCATAAACAATTTTTAATATGAATTTATTCTATATACCTTCTATTTCAGTTAAATATCTTGTACTCCTGAAAAAGACAAAAACACTAGTATCTAAATAAAAGAATGTAAATAAATTGTAGGAATACATTAGGGAATTGTTTGATATGCTTCAAATTACCTCTTAAAAATAACACTGTCAAACTGCAAATAATCAGGCTTGAAGGGATCAAGTTTAAGTTTAAAACTTAAGTATTACTGATAATACATTAGTCAGTCCTCCTTTAGTGAATTATATAATCTAAGTATGGTATCAGTGGTAATAGACTAAGCAAATTAAATTAGCAAGTGTATGTATAAACTTCTCCGTTTTCTCAGGGTGTTCGACTGAAGCAGGAATCTGGGAATATTGCAGCTGTCTGACAAACAAAGCCTTAATGGTAGATATGTTTTGGTAACCAGTAAATTACCAAATCAGCCTTCTTAAGTTTTCTAGGCAGGTGAAAGCTTTTTACTGTGTCAGTTTAAATATATACTATATAAATATAACCAAGGTTGTGATTAGGCTGATTATTTTGTAGAAGGAGGGCTTTGAAAAATTGCAGAACAGCTAATGCAACTATTATATGCTTTTGTTTTTTCATTTTTTAATTCTGGGGAAAGAACCCAAATGAACATGTATTTTTATTAACAACTTTTATGGTTCACTTTAGTTGCATATGTACCTTGTAAACTCAACCTATTCATGCTCCATGCACAGCAAGCCTGGCCAAGTTGCAGTGATACTTGTCATGGAAAATTTACTTTTCCCTCAGTTCACTTTTGTCATTAGGATCTGCACTGTTATCTCATTTTAACAGTCTCAGGTTTTATGAAATTCTTTTATAATTCTCCACATGCTTCTCTGTGTACCTTGTTATTGTGCTATGCTTATCCCAAATGCATTTATTTGAGGTAGTTGCAGTTTCACTTACAAGGTTGTTTTTCTGACAGATGGTGTCCTCCTTACCCATTTTAACACTTATTTTCTTCTATGTAAATGTGGTAAGCTCACTATAACCAGAACCATAATGTTTTTAAAACTCTTCCTATGTGAAGTTAATGCTTGTTTATCCTCAGTTCTGAATATTTAAACAGCATGATGCTTGAATTTAAAAAAAAAATAATATTCTGAGCATATGTACTTCTTAAAGACTTCATCATTTTTTAGAGAGGTGCTGAGCACGTATAGTTTTTTTAACATAAGGACTTCTTAAAATAAGGAATTATGCCTTTGCAACTGAAATGAGTTTTCACTCATGGCAGGTTGATAACAGATTCACTAGATTTCTTAGACATAAATAAAACTCTATTTTTAGATCAGAGATTATCTGAAGACAATTTATTAGGTAATTTTAGAAAAAAACAGAGGAAGAAATTGCTGGGATACCATGAATTGCTGTGCCATCTTTATGGGAGGCATATGTAGTAAAGTATGAGTTAATTCAATGCAATCCATGTTACAGGAGTTTCCTGTCTTGGAAATGACTAATAGGTGTTCAGTGTATTCATTAAAATTAAGTACAGCAGAACTTATTTATAACATTTTAGATTATAACTGATGGGACAAAGATCAAGATATTTCTGGTGTAGAGTAAAAATTATTTTAATGCATTTGATAACAGAAACTGTGTGCATAATTAATGTTTTAACAGCATTATTTAAATTTCTGTACTTTCTGTGTTAGTGTTCTGTAAACTATGCAGTTGTAGTTTTCTAAAGTCTCGGTTGCTGTTAATTAATAGACTGCTAAGAAACTTTCAGGTGATGTTACTGTTAATATACACAAGGTCATAGATGTTAGCCTGGGAGAGATGCCTGTTTGTGGAAGCATGGGCGTGCTCTGTGCTAGGAAACTCCAGGGATCAGATATATGTTGGACATAGGAAGACTGCTGTGTTGTTCTTCTTGTCCATCTCATCATCTTAAGCCATCTCCTAGGGTTATTTTCCTACATACTGCTGAGAAACACATAGTTCCTTAAATTTACAGTCTATTGCTTATGCAAGGGTTGATTGTTATTTAGAAAGCAGCATTTCTCACTACTCATCAGTGTGTTTTATAACCTCTAGAGGAAAGCAGTAAAGATGATGACTAAGCTTTTCTCTTGTATATCTTTCTTTGGGCTGAAGTATGATATTACATTAAGACAAAATTCCATATGATAGTTATAAAAATCTGTCAAATTCTGAATGATGATGGTATCAAGGAGTGCAAAAATGTTAACTAATCAGGAATCAGCTAGCCTCTACCAACTGTTCTGAGATGCTTTGAATCATACATATATTTAATTACTTCTACTTTTGTCAGGAGTTTGACTTTGAAAAGGTGTTCTGGTGTTAAATACGTAGATAAACAACATTAAGAGTGATTTAAATTTATTTGGTGCTCTTGTCAGTCTCAGTCCATTTCTGTATGAAACTGAAGCTCATTGTGTTAATGTCTCCACATTTGTCAATCTGATATGAATAGAATTAGGTATGAGGTCAGTATAGTTTTTGTATTCTTATTCTGTTCATCTAATCTTCAAGATACATACTAGAATAAAACACAGTATGTTTTGCCCTACAGTTCTCCTTGTTGCTGCTGTTTTTGAATCTACAAGCCGAAGAATTGGACAACGTTAAATTTAGTTGAATTGTATAAATCAACAGATCTTTTGCAGTCTGGCAAAATGGCTGATATTCTGAACTGTGATTTGAAATCTCTGAGTCCACTTCAGCTGTTTGAAAGAGTAACTGAACAAGGAGAGAAAGTCAGAGCACTGAAAGCCGGAAAAGCACCAAAGGTATTTCCATTTCATGTTTTGAAGCCATCCTTTTTCAAGTTAGATCTGTCTTTGAGTGCTGAAGAATATGATTGTTCTGAGATCTATTTTGTATTGCAGTAGGAAAAAAAGTCTTGTTAAAAATATTTATGTCCTTCTTGTGAACTGTGGACATTACTGGAGCAAAATAGTCACTAGCAAGAGCAAAGCTTTTACTCCTGCACTAAGAACAGAGGGTCATGGGCTTAGAAGTCTGCTTCAGCCAGTTGCTGTGCTATGTGACAGGATCTAACATATTTGGTTTTCAAGTGAAATTTATATCACTTGCATTCTCCCTGGTTTTAGATGCTTCATTAAAATCTTTTTCTCCATGTGTTATTGTACACATTAGCAAATATGTCTTCCTGTAACTGTACTGGCAGTCACTGCTTAATCTCCCGTAAGTAATTTAGTAATTTGCCATTCACTTCAAGTTCCCTATTCTGTCATCACTATGTTGGCAAAGAGAGCTCAGTTTTAATATGGGCTCTCTTAGTGTATTGCCTGTGGGAGTAAGCCTTGAAAACTGGGAGCTGAACAAAGTGTTGATCTATTTATCGCTTGCATGAGATGTTACAATAGCTTTGTATTAAAAAGTCATAGCCATGAAAGTTGTAAAGAACTTTTTGTTCTAGTTTGTCGTCAAGTCTGTCAATGAATTGTAATGACTAAATTATTTTAAGGTGAGTGACTAAAAGCATTGTAAAGTAAATTATATAATAATTTATATTATATTTATATATCTTAGAAAATTGTGCTTAAAATGTTAATCTTTTTATACCTCTGAAAAGCAGGCAAGTATTTTTTTTTTTTCCTCAGGCAGAAATTGAAAAGTGAGACAGAGGTGCTTTAAATATCTTGGCAACAGTGATGCTGTAAATTCTGCTGGTTAGGAAGTGGTTACCTGCTATTCACTTTTCTTTTACCTTTGGCAGTGATGCTGCAAAACATGTAAATAAAGCCTTATTGTTTATGAGTAATGCAATACAAGTCAAAGCATGGATGCAAGATTTTGAAAGGTTAGGACATTAATGTAATTGTCTCTCTTAAGTATGTTAAGTCAAACAGGGTTTTTTCCTTTATTCAGGATGAAATTGATGCAGCAGTGAGGATGCTATTATCATTAAAACTGTCATATAAAACAACAACAGGACAAGATTATCAGGCAGGCTTGCCTCCAAGAGATCTTGTGTTAATAAACAATGGTACAAGTAAAGAAGAGGACGAGGATTTTGTGGACCCCTGGACTGTGCAGACATCAAATGCTAAAGGCGTGGATTATGACAAACTCATAGGTATAACTCTTTCTTCACTGCTACTAAGGAATTTATGTAAAGTGATCCTAATGACCACAAAAACAGCAAGGGCTCATTACAAATCCTGATCAAAACCATCATAGGTAACATTTAATTTATGTCTAATCTTAGCATTCGTGTGTCTAAAGAATTTGCTGCAGGAGTTGAAAATGTCCCAGGCAAGGGTTTCCTATGGAAGACTTAAATGCTTTGTAAAGAAATTTTCAGTTTAAAATAAAAGTGCTACTTGCAGTTTGTTTTTTGGCATAAGGGCTGTTACTAGAAGTTACTTTAAGGAAGACACTGTTACTGAGTATCTGTATCTTCAGTGGCTGTGATGCAGAACAGCTAGAGCCTAGAGCATTCTGGCCAGGCTGTAGGATTCCTCCTACCATCTCTCCATATCTACCTTGACTTCCAGACTAGGGAGGGCAGGGATGATCCAGAACTAATGCAGAAATCATAAGTGTAATGACTTCTTTAGAAGACACGCTGTCAAGCAGACAAGTGCTGGTTGGGATTAAGAAGATGCAGCTCATTCAAAAAACACCCAGTGTGATGGAAGATATTTCAGACAGGGGTGTTCTAAAAGTTGCAAAGTTTTGTGATTTAAGAAACAGGGGTTTAGTTAATTTCCTTATTTGTTTTACACCCCACTTTTAATAGCTTGTTTGAGTCTAGCATAGAAACAGGTGAGAGAACTGTTCATTAATTTTTACTAATTTTGCTTTTTCTTTCATTATAGTCAGTCTTCAATTCACATTGACTACCTCAGTTGTACATTGCTGGTGTCTGCTTAGTAGCTTGTTTCTGTCAATACGGCATGTACCCTTATGTGGCAGTAACCATATATTTGCTTTTGGGAGCTCCATTGCTAGTGTCAGCATTCTCTTAACTCTGTAGGATGTTATTGTAAGATAATGTCAAATGTATGTGCATATTGGCTTAATCTGCAGAAGGTAATAGGAGAAAGAAGAATTTGGAAAGGAAGAAGTGCAAAGGAAAATATACATCAATGAGGGAGGAGCAAAAAAGATAATTGTTAGAATCTATAAATGGACAAGATCTCTCATCTTATTACTTGTGTAGGAGGTATGGAGAAGGGTTTTTGTTTTCTTGGGGTGGGTTCTAAGTCTTGTAGAAAAGTGGGAAGAGTAGAATACTTGTGTTGGCACAATCACATGGTCTTTCTGAGAATTACTAGCATGACTTCACTGTAAATCAATTCTCTAAAGCCATGTTAAAGCCTGATAACAATGCCTTTTTTTTCCCGGTAACTGCGTATGTGTGACCTTCTGACCTACTCTAGAGTGGTGGGTTAGCCTAAAGGCATTTTACTTATTTACAGTACTAGCAGACTGGGGAATTCGGTGGATGAGTCATCTTGCTTGTTTTAAGTGGTGGTGGAAACTTTTCAGAGAAGAATGCTAACCTAGCCACCTAAGCAGTAACTGTTTCACATCCTTCTTATTGATAAACTTGCTCCTCTTCCTCCCGCTTTTAAAAATAATGGAAAGTATTGCCCAAGAACTTGACATCTCATAGGTCTTACCATAAAAGAAATTTTTGTGCCACCTGTAGTCTGTTTATTTACTAGTGATACCAGAGAAAGTTGCTAGTGTGCTTGTGTTTACTCAAACATAGAAGAATTGAAAGTGCTAAAGGCACTGTGTAATTGAATGGGATATTCTTTTCATAATGGTTGCCCTAGATTGCACTAAGTGTATGGTTATACAACAAAACAGCCTGAAGATATTCTGGGAAGAAAAGTTCTGTTAGCTATATACTAGACATGAACATCCCTAGAATTTTTTTGTTTGTTTGAGCATGAGCAACGAGCAGAGGGATGAGTGAGAAAAAGCTTTGTGTGCTAACCATGCTGATAATTCAGTGAGCTGAATATTGCAAGTAATACAAAATGGTTGAAGTTGGCAGAGATTTTTGCAGATCTCCTCTAAGCAGAGTCAACTAGAGCAGGTTGCTGAGGATCTTGGCCAGTAGGATTTTTATTATTTCCAAGGATGGAGATGCCATGACCTTCTTGGGGAACTTGTTCCAATATTTGACCATGTGCACAATATGAATGTTTTTCTTATGTTTAAATGGAATTTGCTTTATTTCAATTTCTTCCCATTGCCTTTTATCCTTTCACTGGGCAACACTGAGAAAAGTCAGGTGGTCTCTTTACTCCCCCTATCTCCCCTAATCACATATTTATACACATTGATAAGATCCCTCCTGAGCCTTCTCTTCCCCAAGCTCAGCAACCCCAGCTCTCTCAACCTCTCTTCATATGACAGATGCTCTAAGCCCTTCATCTTCATGGCCCTTTGCTGAATTCACTGTAGCATGTCCATGTCCTTCTTATGATGGAGCCCAGAACTGGACCCAGTGCTCCAGATGAGTCTCATCAGTGCTGAGCAGAGGGAAGGATCACCTCCTTTGACATTCCAGCAGCACTGTTCCTAATGCAGCCTGTAAAGGCCTTTGACCTTCCAATGCCACAGAAGTGCATGGCTGGCTTATGTTCAATTCCCATCTACCAGGATCCTAGGACCCCAGGGTCCTTCTCTGCCAAGCTGCTTTCTAGCCAGCTGGCCCCTTGCCTGTACCAGTGTACAGAGTTATTCCTCCCCATATTCAGGACTTTTCATTCCCTTTTGTTGAACTTCATGACATTCTTGTCAGCCCATTTCTCCAGCCTGGTGAGGTCCCTCTGAATGACACCACAGCCATCTGTTGTATCAGCTACCCCTCCCATTATAGTTTCATCTGTGACCTGCTGAGGGTGTGCTCTGTCCCATCATCCACATCATTAATGAAGATGTTAAACGGTATTGGCCCCAGTATCAACCTCCTGAGGTACACAAATAATGTTGGGCTCCCGCTGGACTTTGTGCTGCTGGTCACAACCCTTTGAGCTTGGCAGTTGAGCCAGTTTTCAGTTCACCTTACTGTCCAGTATGTAGTCCAGACTTCATCAGTTATCTATGAGAATGAGGTGGGAGACCGTGTCAAAAGCTTACTAAAGTTGAGATAAACAATATCCACTGTTCTTGCCTCATCTACTAGGCTAGTCGTATCATTATAGAAGACTGTTAAGTTGGTCTGGCATGATTTCCCATTCATAAATTCATGTTGACTACTCCCAGTCACCTTCATGTCTTTAATAATGTTTGGGAATGGTTTCCAGCATTATTTGCTCCATCACATGCCCAGAGATTGAGGTAAGGCTGGCCAGCCTGTAGTTCCACAGTTCCTTCTTACCCTTCTTCAAGGTAGGAGTGGCATTTGCTTTCTTCCAGCCCCCAGGAACCTCTCCCAGTTGCCATGACTGTTCAAAGATTATTGAGACTGGCCTGGTCAGTAAAGTTACTGTATAAGAAATAGTAAGTTACTAGTTTTCTATATGCAAATATAACATGGCAATGGCAAAGAGGAAAAGTACACAATAGATTTTCAGCAAATGTGAATATGCTTTTGAAAATGGCAGCTTTCAGGACTTCTTACGTACAGCAAGTTGAAATCTGTCTGTTGGTAAAAGCTAGAACAATAGAGATGAAAAGCATGCTAGGAATTTTTTAAGGCTTGTTAAGGAGTGGAGACTGTGTCCTTGTCAGAAGCTGTTTAAGAAGGCAGATTCTTTGTGGATAGAGAGTGTAAAATGTTGTGAACATCGTCATAAGAGGAAGGGAGGGAAAAATTACACAACTTTTTTAACAGGAAAGATGAAGATGGAAAAGAAAAGGTAGTTGTGCAGTCTGTGAATGTTTAATAAAGGTATTTAAGCATTTCCATTGAAGTGTGAGGAGCTTTTAATCACTTTCTAAGATGGTATACAAATATTTCTAGGGTGGCTAGCCTCAATTAATCTGGGGTATTCTCATGTTTTCTGAGATTAGCGTCTTATCAGTTGCTCTTGTTCTGCTGAATCAAACATTTTCACGTTCATTTGGTCTCTTCTTAGCGTTCATCCAGATTATAATTACTATGACATTTTGTAATGCATTTTCTTTGCTAGGAAGAAATTAATTCAGTAATTAAGATTTGCTTAGGAAAGCAGATGCAATAACACTCGAAAGCATACGGATTAAAGCGGTGGTTGCTGAATCATGTACCTGCGTTTTCTTTTTTAAGGATGTTTATTTTAATGGGTCAGTGGATGGGCCCAGTGCTTCCCTTGTATGATATCCTCCTTGATTCACCTGGAGTGAATGAACAATTGTAAGCAGGAACTTGTTTCTCATTGGATAATGGTGCAGATACCAAGCTGAGTGGTGTGGTTGACACACCTGAGGGATGCGATGCCATCCAAGAGGGACCTGGACAAGCTCAAGAAGTGGGCCCATGTGAACCTCATGAGGTTCAACAAGGCCAAGTCCAGGGTCCTGCATCTGGGTTGGGGCAACGCCTGGTATCAGTACAGGCTAGGGGACGAAAAGATCAAAAGCAGCCCTGTCAAGAAAGACTTGGGGGTACTGGGGGATGAAGGGATCGAGAGCAGCCCTGTCGAGAAAGACTTGGGGGTACTGGGTGATGAAAAGCTGGTCATGAGCTGTCAACGTGCACTCGCAGCCCAGAAGGCAAACTGTATCCTGGGCTGCATCAAAAGCAGCGTGGCCAGCAGGTCGAGGGAGAGGATTCTGCCCCTCTGCTCTGATGAGACCCCACCTGGAGCAGTGTGTCCAGCTCTGGAGCCCTCAGCACAGGAAAGATATAGACCTGTTGGAGCAGGTCCAGAAGAGGACCACAAAAATGATCAGAGGGATGGAACCCCTCTCCTATTGGAGAAAGGCTGAGAGAGTTGGTGTTGTTCAGCCTGGAGAAGAGAAGGATCCGGGGAGACCTTATTGCAACCTTTCAGTACTTAAAGGGGGCTGCTAAGAAAGATGGAGACAAACTTTATAGCATGGCCTTTAGCAATAGGACAACGGGTAATAGTTTTAAACTGAAAGAGGGTAGATTTCGATTAGATAGAAGGAAGAAATTTTTCACCATGAGGGGAGTGAAACACCGGCACAAGTTGCCCAGAGAGGTGATAGATGCCCCATCCCTGGAAACAGTCCAGGTCAGGTTGGACGGGGCTCTGAGCAACCTGCTCTAGTTGAAGATGTCCCTGCTCGCTGCAGGGGGGTTGGACTAGATGGCCTTTCAAGGTCCCTTCCAACCCAAACTATTCTATGATAACATGCCTAGTTTTCCCTCCTATTTATTAAGTAATTCCTGCTAACTTCAAGTTCAATTACTATATACAAAGCCTTGTAGTAATGGTGTGCATAACCAGTAATTCTAGAGGAAAATGAAATGGTTATAAAGGGTCTGGAACAGCAGAAATGCTGACCTCCAAGTTGATGGTTCCTGTACTCAGGGCTTCTCAGCATCCTGGTGCTCCAGGGTACATATTGGTCTGACTCTTCTGTCCTGTCCCTCATAAATCCCTTGGGAGTATGGCAGTCTCAGTGATTAGGATGGCCATGGTTTTAAATATTCTTTGAGATGTATGCAAGGTCTTTATGGACTAACAGTAACCTCCATGCTGTGTTTCAAGAAACTGTACTGTAAAGGGATGGAAGGCCTCTTTCCTTCCCCTTTTCTGGGGAAGAAATGAGTCTAGTCTAGTCTAATAAAGGCCAGAGTGCCTGAATATTTGGCTTTTCAAATTATACCAGTATGCTTAATGTTCCTTGCTGCCCCTGCAGGTTAATTTTCTTTGTAAAATGAGTTGTGTTCTGGAGACAGTACATTGGGTAACCCGCACAGGTAGAGCGCTCTGCCTCCAGCTGGAATCGGTCTCCCTTGTCCAGTGTTGTAAACTGTTATGCTGTCCAGCTAAGGATCGTTACAGTGTGCTAGGATGTAGCATTAGAAGTCTACCTGCTCTGGTAGACAGCTGTAGGCTTTGGAAGGACATTTTGCTTGCATACAATATTCCTGCGGAAAGGCTTTTAATGTTATGTGCTTTTGGCTTAAAAAAGAAATTGAAAATTTAGGAGGAGGAACATGCATAAGGAGGGATTCAAAGTAAACCAAATTCTGTGTGGGGCATTCAAAGTGATTGTTGTGTTTTCCACAGGGCAGAAGTATAGCAGTCATGTAAGTCATCATTTACTAGCTGCATAATGAACGGTTTAAAAGTAATTTCTTTGCTTGTGGTTTCCTTAGGAAACTGTCAAGGTATTTGAAATTTGTCAAGTGTCAGTGATATACTCCTGTGGAATGATTATTTCCTGTTGCAGCTAGGAAGACCTGAAGTGCCTCTCCCATGTGGACATGTGACTTATAACCATGGAATTTGCCAATGTAGTCTCTCTTTAATAAGATAGTTGGAATAGGTGGATGTAGATATTTTGTACATATAAAATGTATCTTTACATCCAGAGTCTCTATTTTGTCCTCTGGAGTACTTTGGCATTTCCAATAATTAGTTGTGCAAGTTTGTCTAATGTTGAATAGAGCAGAAGAGTAGCAAAAGAGTAAATTCTTGTCTAGATTTTTTTCAATCAAGTCCAAATCATGGAGCGTTGACCTGCTTATTGGGGTCCAAGAGTTGGGACTGGAGTATAAGAAGCTTTAATGAAGAAATAAGACTTCCCCAGTTCGGTTTTATTTGGAATAGGAAAAAATACTGCTATTTCACTCAGTCAAAACCTTTCTTGAATGAAATGACTACATCTGAAAATGTTTTATTAATCAGCTGATTTCCTAAACCACCAAGTGATAAGTCTTATTTGATTGCCATGAAGAATATTACGCATTACCTTTTCAAGCCTCTTGAGGGGAAGCAGTGTCAGTAATCATATCCGTATAAAAGAAGTAAGTTTGCAGAAGACTGTTTGGGGTTGGAAACTAAAAAACCACATGATCTGAGGGCAGGAAATTTAGACATCAAGAGAGGATCATTCAAAGCCTCACAGCCATTTTTATCCTTGGCTTACAGAGGCCAAGTTATTGACCTAAATATGTTTCTTGGGAATATTTTTTGTTGCGAATATCAGTACTTCTGCTATAAGGAGACTGCAATTATAATCAGTCATGGATGGAGCAGTACTACACGTTGTGAATAGACTGGGCTGCCTAGCATAGAGTTAGTGCTGGAGATGACTGCTGGGGCTTCAGGCAAGAATCAGGAAAATCCATCCATTTTACCTGAGACTTGAAGACAGAGCTGTCCTTTTTAATCTGGGCTGCATTGATTACATTCTTGGTAATCCAAGATCAGGTTGTAGCTATGCTATGCTTATTTTTTTTTTTTAATATTTTATGATTGTAGTTCGGTTTGGCAGCAGTAAAATTGACACAGATCTGATCAATCGAATAGAGAGAGCTATTGGGCAAAAACCTCACCGCTTTCTACGTAGAGGAATCTTTTTTTCCCACAGGTGAGTTTTTCTTGTTTTATAATTCATAAAGGTCCTATTAGGTAGATTCTCTATGAGCATTACTGGGAGAAACCTATGACTAGCAAAGGACCGTGTTCTTTTATACCAAGGTAAACCAGCTGCGTCATTTGCAATTAGCAACTATTGCAGATTTCCCCTGGCAACATTTGAAAACCTTGATTGCATTGGTTCCTGGTATGGCCTCACTAATCCCAAATTGAAGAAATGTGCGCAGAATCTTTGCTTTGTACAGGTTCCATTTTGACTCTACGTTAGCAGCCAGACAAAGGCATTGTTCTAGCAGACAACTCCAGGGCTCATACGGTGTCACTGCTGGTTTCAGGAAGGGTGCATGTGGCCTGTGGACCTATGCATCTGTATTGTTAGATAAAAAAGACTCAGGGAATAATCTTAAGCATCAGCCTGCCAGTCTTCTACACTTTTATTGTTAGCGTGCATGGGCTTTTGGCCTATGGCAAGCTATCACATTTCAAATAAGTGCCTGAGCATGATTCAGGGCATGACCTCCACCAGAGACCATTCCAAGCTGGTTGTTTGAACTTATTTGGGAAATGATTCCCAGCTCTGTGTAACTAGGCCTTAGAAATTACTGTCTAATTAAGTAATTTTAAAAGTTGCACATTTTTTCTTTTCATTTAGATACTAAATTTTAATTTAATTTTTAATTTATTTTTTCTTTGAGTGTTTTTTTTTCATGGGGGCTGCAGGAGACAATACTTTCCTTAAATTAAAAAAATGAATGAACAAAACTTTTTATTTCTAGGACACTTAACATCTTATATTTTATTTATAAATACGTTTGGCTTTAAAAGCATTCAAATTCTGAATAGAAGCTTTTTGCTGTGGGTGTTTCTTCCTAAAGAATTGCATCATGTTTTCTCTGGGTTTTTTTGGTTTTATTTTGTAGAGATATGGACCAAATCCTTGATGCTTATGAAAATAAGAAGTCCTTTTACCTTTATACAGGCAGAGGGCCATCCTCTCAGGCAATGCATGTTGGTCATCTTATCCCATTTATATTTACAAAGTAAGTTATTTCTACTGTTTGTATTAATCAAAACATTTGTTTCTAAGGAAATCTTGAACCTGGTTTATGGAACTGCCAAATGATACATTGCAAGGAGTTCTGTTTGTGAGGTGAATATTAATGAACTTAAATAATGCAATCTCACCTTTCACTAAAATGATCATAATCCCTGCATCGCCATAAAGCCTTCTTCATTACACCCTTAGCCCTGTAGCACTCCTTAACATTTTTGTTGTTCTTAAAAATGAGTTTGTGATGAGACTCAGTAACATCACTCTATAATGTGGTGCATGCAGCAGCAGGATGCAGAGCTGTTGGACTCATAGCTAAAAGTCTCTTTGAATTCTGTTTCCATTGCAAATGGTGACTGCTATCATATGTACAGGGAACAATAATTGGGAGTCTTTTTTCCAGGTAAGTTGTCATTATAATCTGTATAAAATGTTTATTCTGTTCACGTAAACATAACTGCATATGCATACAAAGAAAAGAGAAGCAGACCTCTTTATACACTTTTTTTTAAATATATAAAAATGTTTTGGCTGCATGACTTACATCTTCAATTTAACTTACTTTGAGATAAAATCTTTCTGCTTTTATTAGGTGGCTGCAAGAAGTATTTGATGTTCCCTTAGTTATACAGTTAACTGATGATGAGAAATACCTTTGGAAGGACCTAACAACTGAGAAGGCGTATGAGTATGCTAGAGAAAATGCAAAAGACATCATTGCATGTGGTTTTGACATCAATAAAACCTTTATATTTTCTGATTTAGACTATTTGGGGTAAGTACAAATTTCTTCAGGGCATTGTAATAAAAAAAAAAAGTGGCTGTATTTTCTCTCCAACTTTGACAACCAGCAATGTTTTAATAAATGTCTCTAAATTTGAAATCTTTTAAGACAAATTTTGCAATGCTTAAAATAGAAACATTATTTTTTCTACTGTCTAATATTTTATATATATACTATTGTCATTCTCCTGTGTAACGTGAACAAATACTTGTGTGTGCAATGCTTAAATTTAAATTATGAAAAATATATTAAAACAGTTAAATTGTAAAAATACCTAAACCACCAAGAAACCTCGAGATTGATTTGTTTAAGATGGTATCAAAATCTTTGAGATGTGTTTACACTTTATCTGTGTTAACAAAAGGCATTTCAGCAACTTGTTGTGGTCAATTAATTTAATAATACAGCATGAAAGATTATTATTTGACCTTTGAGTAAAGTTTAAAGAAGATTTAAGAAAAAGAACTACTGTTGGAGCTGCCTTCTCAGAAGGAAGAGGTTTTATGGCAGAGGTCAGAACAGAAGTTGTGGGCTTTTTTCTTCTGTGTGGGGTGATGAGCTTCCTTAAAGATTTGGGTGAGAGAATATATGTTTTTAGAGACAAACTGTGTAACGTACAGCCTCCAGAATGTGGAGACTACAAAGCAGTTTTTCCTCCTTTCACTCCCCTGACTTTCCTGCCTTAGCAGAGTTGCATTAACACAGATCTGCCCTATGGCTGAACGAGGGCAGGTCAGAACTGCTGTTTCTTTTGGTTTAGCTCTTCAGCAAAAATAAAAAAGGAAGAAGTTGCTGAGCTATTTTTGATTTGGAAATGCTGCTGATCTATTTGGTGACAGAGAAAGTCCAACCAGGGAACTTAGCCTGTAGAAAACAAGAATTTGGAGAATTTGAGCTACTGTTCCATTGGTGAACTGCAGTGTCCTGTATGAGATACGTACCGGGGATATCAAGCCACACAGAAGACATGATCCATTCAGGTTGCCTGAGTTCACAGAGAAGCATAAGGATAAGTAAACTTCAGGCTCTGTGAGGCATTTTGGCACAATTTCCAAATCAAAATATTTCTGGGTTTAGACAGTTAATTGTGACAAAAAATGTTTACAGTAAATGTTGCGGAGGGGGAAGAATAAATTAAACTTTCAAGGCGCGTAAAATTCTTGTTTGTAAATAATTCTCTAATTAACATCTCAATGGGCCACAAAAAGTCTGAAATGGTGATACTTAATCCTGCAGGCTTTTTGACGTTCTCAGCTTTTGGAGTGAAAGTTTCTACCTACGCTTTTCTACTCTTCTCATTTTATTTTATTTTTCTGCTTTTTCTCACAGGACAAGTACCGGGTTCTACAAAAACATCGTCAAAGTTCAGAAGCATGTTACATTTAACCAAGTCAAAGGAATCTTTGGCTTTACAGACAGTGATTGCATTGGTAGGAAATAATATGAGTTACTAGAAGTGATGCTTGCTTTCGCTTTGGCACTATTTCAGTAATAATTTAAAGAGGTTAGTATCTGCCACTCATGAGGCGGATAGAAAAAGCAAGAAGATCCATGTTTCTAGGCTGATTCTAAAAGAGTGTTATTGTAGTTCCTTCAGTATAGCAAACACTTTACAGTGAAATTTCTAGCATGGTATCTAGCTTTTTGGCCTTGGTAACAGCAAAGTACAAAACACCAATGTTGAAGTGCCCAGGATAGAGAATTTGTTTGTGGTTTTTTTAATAGTGCTTTACAGCTATAGTCAGTTATGCCTCCTAGAACTTTCTGTGCCAAAGTTACATAGAAACTTTCCTCTTCAGAAAAAGTTACATTAGTACAGACACACATATACATACATGAAAAAAAGTTAAGGAGCACTCAAAAGCCTAATTATCAAGGTTCTGAGTAACTGTCTTCCACTCACTTCACTGTGATTGCAGGTTTCTATCACATCAGCCAAAAAAAAGATTCTGTGTCAAAGACAGCATTAAAACCTTGGTGTTCCTGACTACTAACATCATTCTTTGACCAGTAATTGGGCCAGTGACAGCTTTTCAGCCGTCACTGTAACCAAGGAACAGGTTCCTATTTGTTTTAACAGTGCTCGATTAAAAATCGGTATTGTGATAATGACTTCATTGCACGTTTGTAAAAATCTGCTGTTTGCATTCTGTTCTGAGAGGATTTTGATCAGGGGAGCAGCTTGATCACCCTGTGATTAAGCACTTATAAAAAAGAAAACTAGATACATCTGAGATGCTTCACGAGTACAGCATGCAGATAGCAATGATTCTAAGATCTTAGAGGGGAACTTGCCAGAGAAGTATATCTAATTGTCATTGTCTCGCAAAGAAGAAAAGAAATGAGCAGCTCAGAGTGATGATATAGTCAATTATATTTCTGCAAAGAGTAGGTGGTTCAATGGTGAAGTGAGTATGCGCTTTTCTGAACCCTTTATGATCACAGCCTGCCTTTTTTCATTAGTTTCTATGTTAGTTGCAGGTTTGTTGACATCATAGAAAATAAAGATGAAAAAGTTTCTCGGATAAGGCAACACTGCTTGATAAACTTAGATGTTGGTCTTCAGCTGAGTATCTGAATGATTCACTTGTGCATTTTACATATTTCAAAAAGTTCTCTCTATTTGTCATTGCTTATATTGGCTGCTCAGCTTTTCCAAATGTGTTTTCTAGGAAAGATCAGCTTTCCTGCTATTCAAGCTGCTCCATCCTTCAGTTCATCATTTCCACAGATCTTCAATGGCAAGGAGAACATTCAGTGTCTCATCCCCTGTGCTATCGATCAGGTAAGAAAATCATATTACTTAATTTGGTTTTCATGGATTTGTTTTTGTCATGTACCATTCAAGCTTCATGGTGGTGTATTAAAACATCTGTAAAATATTCCTGCAAGCACCTTTCTGGGGCAGAAGCTGGCAGGGATAAAAGGATGTTGTGCTGTGTCCTGACAAAGATGAAGGCTTAACCCAACAATCAGTATTCATGCATTACTCATTCTTGGCATCCTGGATCTGTCTTGATCTCAATCCAGTTCACAGTGAGCTGACATCTATGAAAGCAGAGATAGTAAAATCTATGCAAAAGTATACTGACATGGGGGTAGGGAGAAACTTTTTGCCATGTCCGTGGTAACTAGGACAAAATGTAATGAGCTGAACTTGCAGCATGAGAGATTTACGTTGAACCATAGGAAAAAACCTTCTGTCAGTAAGAATAAAGCAGCATTGAAATAGTTTGCCAGAAAGGCTGCAGAACTTTAACAATTCAGGTCTATATAGAGAGATTGGAAGAACATTGGCTACAAATGACAGTGGGAGCGTCATTACTTTAAATAAGCATTGTTTCTAGGAATCAGATTCTGCACTGTCTGAATCTTCAGCTATTTTAGTCACAGGGACAGTCACTGAAAGCTGATGTAATTACATTCGTCAGCCACAATATTATGTAGTAATATTATTGCAGTTGGCTTAAGTGAGAACATCAGTACAGCACTGCCACCCTGATCACTGATTTAGTTCAGATTCTGTGCTGGTTGTTAAACACTTTGGGAGGAAGCTTGCATCTTAATCTGCATCCAGCTCCAGATGTACTAAGCATAGTTTTCACAACTATTTGAATTCATGTAAATGTTTGTAAATATGCCTATTAATTGAGAGAATCAG